CCTCTGGGATCAAATACAAAATCTTCTAGTTTTTAAAGCCCTTCATAACCTGGCCTTTTCCTACCTTACCCACCTTCTTCCATCTCCCATGTTCTGTATAGTCCAGGGACATTGGCCTCCTTGGGTTTTCTAGCATACAACACTCCATCTCCTGACTTTGTACCTTTCCTCTGGCCATCCCACATGCCTAGAATGCTCTCCCTTCTAGCTTCCCTGAAGTCTCAATTCAAATCCCACCTTCTACAGGAAGCCTTTCCCGGTCTGTTCTTAATTCTAGTGCCTTTTGTATGCTGAACATTCCTAATTGATCCTTGTTTGTATGAAGCCTGCTTATTTGCCATCTCCCCCATTAGGCTGTGAGCTCTTTGAGAGCAGTGGCTGTCTTTTGCCTTTCTTTGTGTTTAGCACGGGGCATGGTACATAGTAAGCACTTACCAAATACTTGTTGACTGACTGGCTGTGAATTGCAAGAAGAGAAGCCCCAAACCAGCACCCTTTTGCTACTCTTTGTCCTCAGTTAGAGGTGGGGCCACCAAGGCTGAAGGGAGGGAGAGACAGAGACCTTCGCTATGGACTCCCTTGAGTCACCTGGGGCCTGTCCAACAACTATTTTCAGGTTGGTGTTAGTCTCCTGGACTAGCTACTCCCTATTGTCCACCAATCAGAGGACAGAGAATAATTGGGTCTCTGGGCCTCTATCCAATGAAATCGAGGTTTGGTGTCTCGCTCTGCTTATGGTACAGTTGTAACAGGATCCTTAAGCAGGGAGGGAAGGAGGGAAGAGTGGCCACCCCCTCCCCCATACAAATGGACAGGTGCTAACAAGTCAGTCCAATGGCCTCTTTTGGCAGCTGTGACACTGGGGCTCTGCCCGAGCCTTGCACCCCATTCTCCCAGCTTCCTGGCTTCCCTTTAGCATTTGTCCTCAATCACCTTCATCTTAATGATAAGAAGTAATGCTAGATCATTGAGCTATATAAGCACTTTTCAATATATTATCCTCCATGGTTTTTCCAGCAACCCTGTCAGGGAAGTATTATTATCATATGATTTTACAAATGAGGAAAGTGGGATCCAGAGTGAACTTGCCAAGTTTCCCCAACCAGGGAGTGTCCTAAGTGGGATTCAAACCCAGATATTTCCTAACTCTCTGTTCAGTATTCTTTCAGCTTTGCCTTGTTTCTCGTTGTTTCCCCAGTCCAATATCAATCAACAAACATCAATTAAGCGGCTCCACTTATTAATGAGATGATATTTGAAAAGCTCTTTACTAACCTTAAATAACTATAAAAATTATAGTTATTTATTGTTGTTGTTAAGTACCAGATACTACGCTAAGTTTCAGCCTGAGAAACTGGACATCTCATTCTGCATTCTCATTGCACCCACCAGTGCTTACCTTAATTCACTGGCCTATCAACTGCCTCTCCGCATTCAACAACCTGTACGGTCTGTTGCCACTTTCACCCAGATTGGGAGGTGGCAGTGCCCCCTCCCTGGTCACAGTGACACTCTACTCCCTAGCTGGTGCTGCTCTCCTACATCACTGCATAATCCAGGACAGAATATTTTATTAGGTTCATAGAATTATAGCATAGTAGCTCTAGAGCTGGAAGAATCCTGAAAAGCCATCCCATCCAACTCTTCCATTCTATGGATGAGGCAACTCGGGGACTGGGAGGTGAATGACTTGCCCAAGGTAGCTAGTCAGAGCAGAATGCGATGAAAGAGCTAGCTCTGAAGTAAGAGGACCTGGATTCAAATCTTGCCTCTAATGCTTGATACTTATGTAACTTTAGGCAAATCACTTGATTTCCCTGGGCTCATCTGTCAAATGACTGAGTTGGATGAGAAGACCTCTGATGACCCTTTGAGTTCCAGAGCTATGATCCTTCCCATCACTCTGGGACTTGGTTATAAGGTACACCATTGCAAAGCAATGCTGAGCAGGGCAGCTTCAAGTGGGCCACACCTTTATATTCAGAAAGGAGGCGTGGAGAAGTGTCCGTCTGCCATGCCAGGCTGACTAGCGGTGAGCAGCAAGTTCTTTCTATACTGCATCGATAACCTGAACTGATCCAGGCAGAGAGAGGCTTCCTTTCTGTACACTTTGAAGTGGGACATCATATCTTTGAGCCTAGCAACTTCATTCTCTGCAACAAAGTTCAATTTGTCATAGAGTCTTAAACTTAGTCCTGGGAGGGACCTCAGAGGTCATCTAGTCCATCCTCTTATTTTACAGAGGGGGAAACTGAGGCCCAGGAAAGTCAAGTGACTTGCACAAGGTGACACAAAGGGTCCTAGATCTGGAGCTGGAAGGGACTTCAGAGGCCAGAGGGGGAAACTGAGGCCCAGAGAGGTCATGTAACTTGTCCAAAGGATCTTCTATCTACATCTGGAAGGGACCTTAGCATCTTGTGAGGCCAATCTCTTTGTTTTCTCATCACAGATGAGAAAACAGAGGTCTCAAAGGTGAGGTGACTTGCCCAAGGTCACACATAAGATTATAGGTGTTTTCCACAGTAGATCCCAACCTTACCCTTTACAGATGAGGAAACAAAGGCCTAGGCAGGTAAAGCGACTTGAGATTATAGTCTAACCTTATTTTAAAGATGAGGAAACTGAGGTCCAAGAAGGTTAAGGGATTTAGGACCACAGGATGAAAGGTTCAGAGCTGGAAGGAAGTTTAAAGGCAGCTATCTCAGTCCTCTCATCTTACAGATGAGGAAATTGAGGCTGAGGGGGATGAGTCAACTTAACCAAGGTTACAGAGGTAGTGTCAGAGGCAAGATTTGAACTCGTGTCCCCTGACTCTTTCAGCTATGCCACACAATTTTATTTCATTAAATGAGTAGAGGTTGTTCCCAGTCCAGGGTTTTAAATGGTGGCAGCTAGAAATACATGATGAGTGTGCACTTGACTATCCTTTCATACTCAGGACATATATCCTTGCATAAAGTATTACCTTAGTCTGACTAGTAAATGCCTGCTTTCCAAATGGGTGAGGCTGTGGAATTATTGATGCAATCAAGTCACACGCCTTTCCTTCTCCATGAAAGAAACTTCAGAAATTCAGGGTTGCCCCCAGCCCTCCATCTGTCCTTCATGCATCAGGGCTCCTTTGAGGTCAGATCATTAAAGAGCCAACCCCTCCTCAACTGGAAAAAGAGGGGGTTGGACTGGATGACCTCTAATGTCCCAATATCCCTTGCACCTCCACACCTCCTACCTTGAGAAAGCCAAGTGATTCCTAAGCATCACATTTTTTTTTTCTGGCTGAATTTTCTTTATATTGAAAACCAATTTTCTGGATTTGTCTCTGCCTACTAAAGATTTCCATCAGCACTGGCTATTTGCTACTCTTATGACAGGTCTGAGGAGGTCTGAGAGAACAGGGACTTTCTTGTTGATGGAGTGACCTGGTCTGAATGTTAGCGTGCTTCAAGAATTCTAAGCCAAGGAGTGTAGTGGAAAGAACACTGGCTGGGCGTGGTAGCACACGTCTGCAATCCCTGCTTCCAGGGAGGCAGAGGATGATGGATCACTTGATCTCCCGGGTTCTGAGCTGCAACAGGGTGAATGCAGACCAGGTGTCCATTCTAAATCTGACACCAATATGATGAGACCTTGGGAATGAAAGGCCATTAGGCTGCCCAAGGAGGAGAAAACCGGTCCAGGTCAGAAAGAGAACAGGTCAGCAAAACTCCCATCTCAATCAGCAATGGGATCGGTCAGTCAATGGCACTTGTAATTCTAGCCTGGAGGAGATAGGGAGGCACTGTCTCAAAAATAAAATAAAATTAAAAAAGAACACTGGCCTGGAATTTTGGGGAGACAGTCCAGTTTTGGCTCTGCTGTGTGACTTTGGGCAAGTCTACCTCCCTCTCTGAACCTGAGTTTTCTTGTCTGTCAAAAAAAAAAAAGGCTTTGGGGCTCAGTGATTTTTAAGGTCCTTTCTAGCTTTGACAATCTAAGAATCTAATTGCAGAACTCTGTTTCAAAGACACTAAATAGTTTGTGGGCAAGGAATTAAGGCAGAAGGGGCCGTGTGTCAGGAGTTTTCATTCATATTGATTTGGTCCAAGGCAATTTGCTCAGTGGAAAATAAGGCAGTCATTCTCGAATGTCAGAGGAGCAGAGCTCAGCTGAATGTCTTATTGAAGTGTGCAGTAGAGGCTTTTCTTGGGTCATTTCTGGGAAATGCATGAAAATTAGAGACCACATCCTGGATGCCTGTGCTCTGGGCTTCCTTGGAAAAGAGTGTGCTCCTTTTTGTATCCCTAGTACCTAGCACAGTGCTGGGCACGTAGTAAATGATTAAGAAATGCTTAAGGTCTTAAGAGCCTAAATTTCAAGCTAGAAGGGACCTTAGAATCTAGTCCAATCTCCTCATTTTACAGGGGAGGAAACTGAGGCCCAGTGAGGGGAAGGGACTTGCCCAAGGTCCTAGATCTGGAGCTTGAAGGAACCTTGGAGGCCCTCTAGTTCAACCCCCTCATTTTACAGAGGAGAAAATTGAGGCATAACATGGTTAAATGACTTACCTAAGGTCACACACGTGATTGTAAATGTAGAGCTGGAAGGGCCCTCAGAGGCCGTCAACATAATTCCATAATTTTACAGAGGAAGAAACGGAGGCCCAGCCGGGTGAAGTGGTTTGCCCAAAGACACACAAGCAATAAGTTGTAAAAGTCTGGATTTGAACTCAAGTCCCGTAACCACAAGTTGAGTGCTCTTTCCATTATGTCATGCTTACTGATTGAGTACATTGTCCTTGAAGAACAGATATACAGGCCCTGATAGACTTTTAGCTTTAGAATGAGCTATTGCAAACACATACTAAAATAAGTTTTTGATGCAACTGATCCTTGCATATGCATATTGGAGGATGGGGGAAATGGAATCCATTCCGATTTGCTTCTCACAAAGGACATTCTTCCTTGGCCTCCTGATCAACTGGTGCCTTTGGAATGGAATTCAACACTTTGGTGGCCACTTACCATCTGCATCTTCGTTGCTTCCAAAGTTCTGTCGGTAAAAAAGCAGCAACTCGATGTTGTAGCATTTATAGATGATGGTAAGCAGCACAAGAAGGAGGAGGATTGCTCCCAGGCCTCCTGCCAGCTCAATCTTGTAGATTAAATCTAGGAACATAGAGGAAATGGGAATAAATTCCAGCGCACTGAGGCTGGCCCCAGAGTCCTGCGTGGTTTCACCCGTGTGAAGCTCATTGGTCACTGGGCCAACTTGATGGTGACCAAATCCACTGCACATGTCAAATCTCTGCCTTGTACCCCCTACTTAGCTGCATCATTCCTTAGCAGTATATACTAAAACTAGCTGGGCTTGGGGGATATTTGGGGATATCAATATGATGAGCCATGCCTACTTTTTTCCTCTTTTACTTGAATTATACATTCTTATCAATCAGTGTCAAGAAGACATAGAGATTTCATTTTTCATTACATTGAAAGCTCTACCACTTCAGCTGACTGCATTCAAAGGTGTGAGGTACTAGCTAGCTAGGACATTGGTGTCCTAGGACACCTTTGCCACCTATAAGCTAGGTGACCTTGGGCAAGTCGTTTCCCCTCCCTCTGTCTCAGTTTCTTCCTTTGTAATGATGGAGTTAGGGCAGGTAGGTGGTACTATAGTGAATAGAGTGCAAGGCCTGGAGTGAGGGAGACTCACCTTCCTGAGTTCAAATCTGACCTCAGCCATTTCCTAGCTGTGTGCCCTTGGGCAAGTCACTTCACCCTGTTTGCCTCAGTTTCCTCATCTGTAAAATGAACTGGAGAAGGAAATAGCATACCACTCCAGTATCTTTGCTGAGAAGACCCCAAATGGGGACACAAAGAGTCAGATACGACTGAAAAATGACCTCACGACAACAATAACAAAACAATAGATGATTTGAAAGTGCCTTTTTTCTTGAAATACAGTGAGAAGGGGCTCGGGGTGTCTCTAGTTGAGTCTCTATTTCAATTTGCCTAGCACCCCAGATTCTTACCTGGTCACAAACGAGCTTTGCCAAGCCCTCTCTGCAGATATACAATTACTTAGAAATTTCTGACCTGGTAATGCTCAATATACTGCATAGCGATATGCATTCACTACATCCTCAGAGTGTCTGTTTAATTCTCTGAATCTCACCCACTGTATTTATCCCATGCGTAAATGTATAGCAGGCTATAGGCATTTTTACCAATTTCTACAAGCAGGGAAATAGTTTGACTTCAACTGATATCTTATGCACGTACTATGTGCCAGGTTCTCCCCTAGACCCTGGGGATACAGAGACAAAAGTGAGATAGTCCAGGCATCCTGGGTACACTCAAAGGTAAAACTGGGCCAGGGCTCTGATTTCTTTTAGTGTTAACAGTCACTTGGTAGATATGTAAATGTGATACTAAAAATAAATACCTTTTTTACGCAACAGAATGCTTGCGTGTTTTCGTCCATTTCTGTTTTCCACATGGCAGGTGTAATTAGCTAGATCCGCCTCTACCACGGCATCGAAGGTCAGGGTTAATTCCACTTCCTTTTCTCCAAGATGTTCTTTGAGAAGTCTAAAACAAAGATGGAATTCTTGCCTGAGTCCATTGGTTAGGGTTACAATCCCAGTCTCCAGAGGATACAAATTGTTACTGGCACAGATAGCACGTGTGCAACCTTGGGGACCACCTACAGACCCAGTTTGGAATGGGTGTTGGGGCTTCAGCAGGAAAATATGGCAAGGTGCTCTTGACCTGAAAATCAGATAGGAAAGAAAGGATGTGAGGGATTCACATAGCAATAGGTTGTGCCAAATGCAGTGGGAAGAAGAAGAAAAGTCTGGACTTGGGCATTTTGAGCCAAGCTTCTTTGGTAAAGTGAAAAAAGGTATTGGATTTAGAGTCAAAAAGCCCTCGATTTGAATCTTAGCTCTGTGACTTTAATCTCCCCTGGCCTCAGTTTCCCCCTCTGTAAAACAAGGAGGTTGGACTAGATAGCCACTGTGTTTGCTCCCAGCTTGAAATCTGGTCTTCTGTGTGTGATTGTGGGCAAGTCATTTCCCCCACCCCACCCCCATTTCTTGCTTGGCAGAATGAAAGAGTTGGACTAGATGGCTTCTGAAGTACCTGCCACTTCTAGGCCTAGGGTCTTATGTGGGACCTTGGGCAAGTCACTTCACTCTTCCCTGGGCCTCGGTTTCCTCCTCTGTCCAACGAGGGCATTGGACTAGATGGCGTCTGAGATCCCTCCCAGCTCTGAATCTCTGACTGCCAGAGAAGGTTGGACAGGGCCAGCCATATGGGGTGGAGGTACAAGACCCTTTCCTCCAAGAATGAGCCCAACTGAATTTCATTTAGTGCCTCAATTTTCCTCTCTTTTACTCATTTCCTTGAGTTAATGTGTCTGGGCTCCAGGAATCTTTTGTCATAAAGCAAATGCCACCAGGAGACACATGAATCTGTTGTCAATTTAGCCACTTAACATGAATGAGCTTAGAAGCTCTTGAAAGGCAGAGAGCAAGGGGCCTAGCAAATGGGCCTATATTTAAATCCTGCCTCTGATGTTTCCTAACCTTTGGGACCTTAGGCAAATCACTTCACATCCCAGGGCCTCAGTTTCCCCCTCCGTAAAATAAGGGGCCCCTGAGGTCCCTTCCAGCTCTTGAGCTAGGATCCCTTGTGCGATCTTGAGCAAGTCAATTGGCCTCGGTTTCCCCCTCTTCCAGCTCTAGATCTATGGAAGGGGAGGAAAGCAGGGGCATGGCATCACTGCCTGGAGAGAGCAGGGCACCTTGGGGGGTGAGGCTGGGAAATCAGAGGTTAACATGAGGTCACTGGACACCAAGAAGACCATCTCCTGTGGGTTAAAGAGGCAGGCAAGGCACGAGAATGAGAACCTTTTCTGTTTCACACTTTTCTTTTGGGTTAGCATCACCCGTGGCTTTGGAAAGTTTATTAAGCTTTTATATTTTAACTGAACAAGTGAGGTATCAAAGATAATTCCCATATTTATGTTATACGCTTAGAGATGGCTTCTGAGGATGCTTCCATCACTTGGTGTCAGCATGAGGCCAGCCTAGTCAGAAGCAGCATGATACAGTAAGGTCTAGATTTAAATCTTGCCTTTAGCAACTGACTTTGTGATCCAGGCCAAGGGGGATGGGTAAGGGTGGGGGTGGGGGAGCTCCCTCACCTTGAACACAGGGATCATAATACTTGGCAACCAAGACTGTAAGTTCAAGTATTGATTGATTTCACTGGAGGGACTTTCCTTACTTGAGAGTTCCCTATATTGATGAAATCATAGGATTGATACAATTCCCCCCCCAAAAAAAAAAAACCCAACAACAACCTGTAGCCCACCGATCTCATAAGGTTGCTTTGGTTGAAAGTGCTGTAGAAATAGGAGTTATTGTTATTAGTGAAAAGAACTCCAGGCTAAGAAAGACCTAGGTTCTAGTCTTTGTTGACCCACTTACAAGGTATGTGACCCTAGCAAATCACTCACTCACCACATCTGTGCCCCTATAAAATGAGGAAAATAATAGCTCCTGTATTGACCTGAAGGCTGCTATTGTCGAGAGATGATTAGAATTATTTCTTGATTATCTGTAGACAGATAATCCACCATTTGGTTTTCATAAACCAATCTCGACTCTTCCAGGGCTTTGCTGCTTAGGCCAGCTCGATTCTCTTTTCTCTTTTCTCCAAGGGGCATAGCCCTTGGCAATCCCAGCACTTAGTTGCCTTTCTAGCCTTAGGGAAGCCTACAGAGGGCACATTCACTAAAGTTAGTTCTTTGTATTGGATTGTCCCCAGTGTGGGAAAGGCAAGATAGGGAAAATGGGTGGCTCCCCAACTCTGTCTTGACTCAGTTCTTGACTTTGTTGGTTATGAACTGCCAGGTTGTGGGAGATGCCCATCTGAACCAAGCACTCATACTGCAATTTAGGGACACAGCTACCTTCTAAAGCAAAGGTTCTTATCCTGGGGTCCGTGCACTTAAAACAATATTTTGATAACTATTTAAATATAACTTTTTTGAGTAATTGCATGTGTTTTATTTTTATGCATTTAAAAACATGATTCTGAGAAGAGGGTCCATAGACTTCAGTAGACTGACAAAGGGGTCCAGGACACAGAAAATGTTAATGGGGGATTTTGAAGTCAAGTGGGAAAGATCTGAGCATCATTCATCTCTGTTCCCTTCTAATATCATGGAAAATGGCAAGTTGCTGGTCTTTCTTTTCTTGTCCCCCGCCTTCATGGAGTTCTCTGCTCATTCCTTCTGCTTTCTCATCAGCTCTGGAGAGATTTTTCCCATCCCCCACTTCTGTCTAAGGAACGATTAGAACTTTGACCAAAGCTCTCATCCATACCGTGCTGGCTGTTCCTCCCCCTTCTCCCATTGCTTCTCTGTGGCCTCCTGCCTGGGCGGCTCCATCCACCTCCTTGGTATCCCTCTCAGGAATAGCAGTGTTTATTCACAGAAGCTCCTCAGACCCCACAAACCCAGTTTGACTGGACGCTTCCCTCCCAGGGTGGCCTCTGCCTTCGCCAGGCGTGGAGACACAAGGCTGCAGCCTGTCCCCCATACACAGGCCTTCATTCTTCATGTCTAAGGCTGTTTCCAAAATAGATCTTCAGAGGCTGCAGAGAGAATCTGGGGAGAGGATTTGAAAAATTGCCCTCGGCCCATCTATTAATATAGATGATGTGTATTAATAATCAGCTATGGAAAATTTGGAGGGAGGGAACCACTTACTCCTCTGGGAGTAAATAGTAAGGTGGCCTTTCTGGTTGTAAATCACTCTTCGGAAGAGTCAGGCAACTGCCTAGCAAGTAAATATCAGCCAATCAAAATATTTACATATATATATATATATATATATATATATATATACATATATACATATATATATATATATGTGTGTGTGTGTGTGTGTGTGTGTGTGTGTGTGTGTGTATAGATATATATCTATATATATATCTATATATATATGCGCATATATATTTAGAGAGAGACAGACACCCCCTATTGTGTGGCCAGACGCTATGGGGGATATATACAAAAGTAGAAGAAAAACGTGGCCAGTCACTGCCCCTGAGAGGTTTATAGCCTGGCTGGGGAGACAGACTGAACCTATATGGAAAATTTTGAGAGTAATATAGATAGTATAGAACCAAATGTTAGACTGGGTGGTACTGGAATGGGTGCAACATGAGTTCAATGAAGGAAAATGGTGGGGGTGGGGAGAGGCATTGTTAGAAGGCAGGAACCAGATCTTGGACAAATATGGGTCAATGTAGATAGGCAAAGAGGGGAGGGGGATTAGTACGAGCAAGGCCTCAGAGATGAGAATCGGGGAACCAGCTTGATGAACACAGAAGACTAATATTGGGGAGCAGTAGGATGGCACTTATAATGTCAGTTACTGGTGATTTCACTCCAAGGACTAATGTCTGCAGTAAGTCGGGCATACCACTGAACACTGTCTATTTAAGATACATTAAAATCATTAAATTAGATAAAAAAGTAGTACTCAGTAAGGGATAATTATATCCATGGATAATAGGAGATACATATACATACACACTTAATAAATATTTATTATATATTATTATATATCAACACACACACACACATACACACACACACACACACACACATATACATACACATACCTATATATATCTATGTAATCTCTAGGCCTCTTCTGTCTTTAACAGATGGAACTCCTGAATGAGGAAAGTCCCTTTACCAATACAGGGTGGCACTTTTTCTGCAATTTATACTATTGGAGTTGCCCGGAGCCAGAGAGATTAAGTAGTTTGCCCACGATCACTCAGCCAATATATCTCAGAGTCTGGACTAGAACCCAGGTCTTCCTGATGTAGAAATGGCCTTTTTATTCACTATGCTTTCACCATAGGCTATGACATAAGGTCATTCTATTTGGTTCAATTTTACGTGACTTCATGAACATCTACTCAGTGCTTAGTACTATGTTCATTAAACCAGTTCTCTGTCCCAGACTGCTTTCCCATCCCTCTGAATGAGCACTTTATCCTATTTAATGGTAGCCATGGAAGTAGATAGTGGAAAAGAAAATGTTTCATGAAGTGCACAACCCCCATCTGCTTTCAGGGCCCACTGTAGGCACCTGGTTAACTGCCTCCTTGTGAGCTTGCAAAGGTGCTCTGGGATTGCTAGGAGGCCTAGTTTACAGAGCTGAGCAATTCCAGTGAGGGGAACTGGTAGCCCCAGCCTCTCTAATGCCTCAGCAATGTCCAGTAAGCAGCATCCGCCATTGTGGGCGTCATCAAAAAGCCTTTGTTCCTGACCCTGTCTCTGTGTACCAAGCACTGCACCAGCAGTTACCCAGATGGGCTCCTAGAGATTTAGAACCCGAGGCAGACAATGCTGAGGAGTAATATGTGAGGAAAGAGCATTCTGTGCACGAGGGAATGCAAATGCTGGGGGCGATGGGAACTTCCAAGGAATGGAATATCCTGTCTCACTAAATAGAAAGCCTTTTCTGTTTCCTCCAATTGTTGAAACTTATTCTAGTGTT